CAGCACACTCCGCAATCGCTGAGTACCACCGCGCCCGCCTCCAGAGCCGCATCCCCCGTGACCGCGTCCCGCACCACACTGACTGTCAGGCCGGCGGAGGTGGAGGTGTTGCCGCACACGTAAATACCGCGGGGGGCTGCGGCGGCGGCGGCCTGCAGCACCACCACCACCGGTCGGTGCGGATACTGGAGATGATGAACACAATGAAGATGTATGTACGTATGTATGTATGCATGTATGTATGTATGTATATATATGTACCCCCATACCCCCAAACCCCCTCACTCTCTGCGGAGCCCCCTCCACTCCAAAAAACATCCTTCAGCCCCCCCCCCCCCCGCTCCCTCCCCCCCTCCCTGCCGTACCTTCAGCAGCTGGCTCTTGCCCAGCCCAGGATCCCCCACGACCAGCACGTGGATGTCACCGCGGACGGGAACACGACCAACACCACCACCACCACCGGCGGTGCGGCCGCCGCTATCACCGCCGCCAGCGGCTGCTGCCCCCCTAATAGCGCCGCCGTCGCCCCCGGTGTTTTTCCGTACACCTCCCAGCATGGCGAGTACGATGCCGCACTTGACGAGCTCGTTGCCGTATATGGAGGGGCACAGCGCATGGACGAGCTGGCGAAGTTGATCGCCGCCGTACGACTGCGCCGTACATCGCCGTCCGTACGTTCGATTGCGCGTCGGGGGTGTTGTCGTTGCATTGTCATTCATCACATAAACACAACAGTCAGGTCAGCTAGTCGGGGTGCTCACGTGGAACACAAGTCCCTAAACCCTACTGCTAGCCCCTCTCCCAACCCGTCAGAAGCCCCCGGCCTCACTCCCCATCCGTCTATGGCTTTCCCTTCGCGTCAATCGTCCATGCTTCGCCGTACCCCCACCCTACCACCCATCTCCCTCCACCCCTACCCACCAGCCAACCCTTACCCTCCCCCCCTTAAACTCACTTCACAGAATTTGACAACGAAGGCGAGGTCCTTAGAAATGAAGCTGGGCAGCGCGGCAGGATCCCCTGTACGGCAGCCGGGACCCACTCCTCCTCCGAAACCAGAACCCCAACCAGACAAGGACATGTCACCCAAGCTGGGAGCCTGAGAGCGGCAGTACGGCAGTGGCAGTACGGCAATGGTCATGACAATGCGGTAATGGCGGTGGTGCGGCGGTCGCAGTGGTGGCGGCCAGTGGAGGCGGATGACGGAGAATGACAGCGGCAGCCGCGTGGGGGTTGTGTGTGTGTGTGGGGGGGGGGGGTAGACCGCCCCTGTCCGGGAGGAAAGCTGTGTCTGGGAGGGAACGAGGCCCCCTGGGGGTTTTGGGGGGTGGGGTGGGGTTGGGAAGGGAGGAGGGCGGGAGCTCCCCGCCTCTCCTGCACGGAGTTGCCCGGCCGGGCCCTCTTTTTGGAGTTCATGCACTCCCCCAAACACCCCGCCGCAGACAGGAGACAAAAAACGCACGTACATACATACATACATACATACATACATACATACATACATACATACATACATACATACATACATACATACATACATACATACATACATACATACGTCTTCTCTGTGGGACTGGGTTGCTTGGTGAGGGACGAAGGTGAGAGCGGTGCAGTACGAGACAGGGTGAATAGGTTTCTGGAGGACCAACCGTTCAGGTTAGTGGCGGTAAGGGGGAGGCGCCGCGCGGGCTACAATCCTCCCCCTGCGGTTTTCTGGAGGGTCTAGGAGCTGTGTGTCGTGGCAACGCTAACACTTTGGTCGTTTCGCCGGACTATCCCGGGCCCCTGCAGTGATGATCAGGCTCGTGCGGGATCACTTTTCTTTATAAGGCTACTTCTCCCCTGGACCAGCCCAGGAAGGGACAGGTGGTGGAGGTCAGTTGTTTTAAGGTGGTTGCAAGACGTCTTGTGGTGTCGAGCTCTCTTAGCCTTTCTCTCTTGGAGGTTTTTTTGTTGGCCTGTTAGGTATATCAGGAGCCCTCCCCTGCCGGGACTGCCCTAACCGAATTTTTGTTTGTTTGTGTGTTTTCCCTTCGAATCCCGTTTTCGTTGGTGGTGTTTTGGGGGGTTGTTTCAGAGAGCCTTTGACTTTGCCCTAGCTGAGACTTGTGGACTCGCTCTAGCGGGACCTGAGAGCCCTTCGTGGTGTATTCAATGCAGCGCCATCCCCGGATGGAGTGGCTGCGGAGTGGCTGCGTAGAGTGTTGGCAGTCTGAGTCGGGGTCGGGAGCACACAAGACTAACCGACTTGTGCTGTGTGCTCCCGACCCTTGCGCTGTGTTTCGGCCGAAGCCGAAGCCGGGGCCGAAGCCCCCGGCTCTCGCAGCCCACAGTGTAATCTAAGTCATACATACATACATACATACATACATACATACATACATACATACATACATACATACATACATACATACATACATACATACATACATACATACATACATACATACATACATACATACATACATACATACATACATACACACCTGCATTCCCGAGGCCCCCAGTTGTTGCCGGGGGCAGCTCAGGGATACGGCCTCCAAGTACATCAGGAACAGGCTGCTGCTGCTGCCGCCACCCCCACCCCCTCCGCCACCTCCACCAACACCGCGGCCGCCACCCCCACTCCCCCCTGCCCCTCGGCCGCCTCCTGCCCCTCCGGAGGCTGCACCGGTGGGCGCGAACTTCCCTGTGTGTACGGCATGTACGGCATAGATTGTTTATACGACAGTACAGCCGCATGACCAAATCCGCAGGTGTAAGATGGTGGCATGTGAGGGGCTGAAGGGGGGCTGAGATCACATGCAGACATCATCCAACAATGCAGATGTGGTGTTGCGGTAACAGCAAGTGACCCCACATGGTGATGGCCCTGATGATGATGGTGATCATGATGATGATAACTTTGTGTCCCCGACTGGTCACCACCACCGACTGCCATCACCGCCTGGTGGTGGAGCAGCGCCCGCAGCACACTGCAGCGCTGAAGGGGGGCCGGCGGTGGATCGGGTGGATCGGACTGTTGAAGATACGACGGATACGGCGAAGGACACCGTGTGCACACATGTCGTACGTGTCTTGAAGGCAACCACGTCAACACATCTTTCCGTCTTTCACACACACACACAGACGAACCCGACATGCTCCCACCTTACCTTACGAAACAAACAGGCGGATCGAAATCGAAATTACTTCAGACTTTTGTGACCTCCATCCGCCGGTTGCCGGGCCCCCCACACCCCTCACCTCCCCCCCCCTCTCCCC